ATTCAAAGCTTGAATGGAAGGATGGTGACTCTCAGTCGCTTCATATCAAGAGTAACAGATGTTTGTCGTTCTTCAATATACTTAGAGTCAATAAGAGATTTGAATGGACTCCAGACTTTAAGCGAGCCTTCTAGAGCATAAAAGAGCATATTGAAAAAGCACATCTCTCATCCAAGCCTCTTCCCAAAGAAATTTTATTTCTCTAACTGTCCATATCTTACTATGCGGTTAGCGCAACTCTCATTCAAGAAGAGGATAGAATTCAGTGGCCAATGGATTATACAAGCAAATGATTATTGGATGCCGAGTCAAGGTATCTAGTGATGGAACGATTAGCTTATGCCTTGCTGATTGCTTCCAAGAAGTTGCGACCTTACTTCCATGCCCACACCATTCATGTATTCACAAATTAGCCACTCAGGCAGGTCCTTCAAAAGCCAAAGGCCTCAGGTAAATTGTTCAAATAGGCCATGGAATTAAGTTAGTTTGATCTGCATTATAGACCGAAAGTAGCTATTAAAAGGCAAGCTGTCATTGATTTTATATCGGAGTTCTCTTATCAGCCAGAAAAAGAACCAGAACAGCCAGCTAGTGAAGTCATCTTAGAAACTATTCAAAACTTGTCAACTTGGAGTCTCTATGTTGATGGGTCTTCGAATAGAAGAAAAGTCAAAGTTAGTCTTTTGTTCATTAGCCTTGAGAGGACTCGCATTTATGGAGCCCTTAGGTTCGGATTCAAAGCTACAAATAATGGGGCTGAGTACAAAGTGCTATTTACTGGTCTACGACTAGAAAGAGAGATGGGATCAGATATGATCGACATCAATAGTGACTCTCAACTGGTGGTCAATCAGATTTTGGGAGAGTATCAAGCCAAAGAAGAGAATATGATCAGTTACTTGAAGAAACCTAAGGCCGCACTCGAGCCCTTCAAGCATTACACGATCAGGCAAATCTTGAGATATAGTAATTCAATTGTTGATGCTTTAACAAAGACAGCCTCATCGCTGGACTCCGATGTGCCGAATAGTATCTTGGTCAAACGCATCAAAGTTCTTAACATCAACTCACCCGACTAGACAGTGGCTTTAATTGAATCCATGTCTTGGATGACTCCGATCATTCAGTATCTCAAAGATGGGGTTCTTCCTAATAGCAAGACTAAGGCAAGACTCCTACAGACTAGAGCTGCTCGTCATACTCTCATCAGAGATCAGCTACATAAACGAGGGTTTAGCACTGCCCTCCTCCGATGTGTAATAGATAAAGAAGTAGACTACATCATGAGAGAGATACATGAAAGGATTTATGGTAATCACAATGTTGCACGATCTCTCGCCAATAAAATTATCCACGTTGGCCCCTACTTTATGAAAATATTTACAACTTTGTGAAGAAGTGTGACAAGTGTCAGAGATGCGAGAACATCCCATGAGCTCCTTCCCATCAATTAACAATGATGACCAGTCCTTGGCCATTCGCTATATAGGGAATTGATTTCATTGGTCCTATGTCAACCGGTAAGGGTGGCGTCAAATATGCTATGGTCATAATAGATTATTTCACTAAATGGGTCGAAGTAGAACCTCTGGTCACGATCACTACTAAGAAGCTCAAAGACTTTGTCTTCAAGAATACAATGTGCCACTATGGAATTCCTCATACACTCATCTCTGATAATAGGAAACAGTTCAATAATAAGGATTTCAAGTAGTTTTCCGAAGAGTTGGGGATTCATAAGAAATTTTCCTCAATAGCAAGACCAAAAGCTAATGGTCAAGTTGAAGCTGTCAACAAAACCATTAAGCACACATTGAAGGCCAAGCTTAGCGCAGCCAAGGGCAATTGGGCCAATGATCTCCCAAAAGTTTTATGGGCATATAGAACAACTCTGAGGACCTATACTTCAGAAACACGTTTTTTGTTAGCATATGGCTATGAAGCAATGGTCTTAGTGGAAGTATGAACTAGCTCACTTTGGAGAGAATTCTACAATGAATTAGACAATGAAGCACTTATGAATGCAAGTCTGGACTTAGTTAAAGAACACTGTAATGAAGCTTGGTTGAGGATAGCTTCCTACCAACAATAGGCAAAAAGATTCTTCAACTCCAAAGTCAAGAGAATAGACTTCCAAGTTGGCAACCTAATTCTAAAAGAAGTCATTCTTGGTACAAAAGAACCAAGTGCAAGGGTATTGGGACCTAATTGGGAAGGTCCATATCACATCGCTAAAGTGATACGACCTGGAACGTATCATCTCAAAAGGCTTGACAGTTCTAAAATATCGGAAGCTTGGAATCTTGAGCATCTGTACCCTTATTATTAGTAATTTCAAACTCTTGTATAGCTTAAGTGATCAATTTTACTTGTAAATCTTCCTTGTTGTAAATGTCGTGAATAAGATTATTTCATTTCTTTTTCAAGAATTACTTGTGTCATAATCTCTGTTTTAATAATCTTATAGCTTACAATGTTTTACAAGTTTTATGATCAAAAAAGTTATATTTGTTCTATGAAGTACTTAAAATATAAAAGGGCTATCACAATTGGTCAAAAGTCTGTATCTATATTTCAACAATAGGTACAATAAATGACCAAAAGAACTGCAAAACAAGTGAAAAGAAAAAACAAAAGGCTGTTTGTGAATAGACAGAAAAGAGGTTGATCATTTGTTTTGAGCCTCAGAATCCATGACTTCGATCACTATGACCTCGGGATCATTTTCTTGATCTTCAGGGACTTCTGTTTCTTATTAATCTTCCTCATAGGCAGATTCACAATCTTCTTGTTCATCAGCAGATTACATTGACACAAGAGTTAGTTAATACTCTTCGAGGAGGTTGGAAATGTCTAAATTTGGGTTGTTCAGCCGTAGGCTGTGAATGACTTTCAATGCCTAATGAGTGAATTTCATTTCCACTCGAGACTTAATCATTTCATCTGCTTTGTCAGCAAAGTGATCCGCCTATGAGCTATCTTGAGCTCCATTTCTGTCACCCTTTTGTCTTTTTTTTTTTAGTTTGAGAATCAATGAAATCAATTTAGGATTCCAAACTTGGGACTATTAACCTTCAATTTGTTGGGTACGAAAGCTTAATAGGCATAAGTAGGAAAGCATAGCTTGAGAAGGTATGTTTTACATGTTAGGGTGTCCAATTTATAATCCTTGCATGTGATTGTAGAAGTAACAGAGATCGTAGATTAATACATAAAATCCTAGTGAAGTCAAAACCCTAACCGCTTTGTTTTAATTGACATTTTTCTTGAATCAATATTGCTTTAATTAGTTAGATTTTAAACTATGTTGTGAGTTTTGTTTTAATTTCAAGTTAATTGTCTCCCGCAAATCCAATCATCTTTCGGTTTCTCCAACTTGATAAACAACTAGGAAAATTAGTACTTGACATGCAATCCTCGAGGGAACGATACTCTACTTATCACTTTATTACTTTTTGCAACTAGTGCACTTGCTACACATTGCATGTTGTAATTTCAATGCATCAAGTTTTTGGCACCGTTGCCAGGGATTGATTTTGTGTTAATATTGAATTTTTCTGGTTTTAGCTAGATTGGAGTTTAATTTTAGTTTGAATTGTTTTCTAGTTTAATTTTGCTATTCTTTTCTGTTAGCTCGTGATCTCACACTTTCTTTCTTTTTGTGTAGTTTATACGAAGAGCTAGACGTCATCCAGTGGTTCCTATTGATCTAGAGATTGAAAGAACCGCAAGAAGACTTAACAGAGAAAGAAGAGAACAAGAGGTGATAGTCATTGAGATAGCAGAAAACAGAACATTGAGGGAATTTTCGGTGCCCTCGGTTGATGGTAGTAGTCCGAGTATAACAAGGCCACCAGTGCAAGCCAACAACTTTGAAATAAAGCTAGCAATCATCCAGATGATCCAATAATCGGTACAATTTAAGGAAGATCTGAAGAGATTCAAATTCACACATGGCAAACGTCTTGGAGATCTGCAATACCTTCAAATTAAATGGAGTGTTAGGTGACGCCATCAGATTAAGATTATTTCCTTTTTCAATAAGGGATAAAGCAAATGGATGGTTAATGGCACTACCACCAGGAACAATCACAACCTGGAATGAATTGGCACAGAAGTTCCTAACTAAATACTTCCCTCTAGCAAAATCTACAAAGATGAGAAATGATATCACATCGTTTCTACAGGAAGAAGCTGAATCACTTTATGAAGCTTGGGAAAGATATAAGGAACTACTAAGAAAGTGTCCACACCATGGTTTGCCAGTTTGGATGTAAGTCCAAACCTTCTATAATGGGTTGCTGATAAATGTGCAAATAATAGTGGATACAGCATCTAGAGGAGCATTGCAAAACAAAACACCAAAAGAAGCTTATGAGTTACTTAAAGTCTTAGCAAGTAACAACTATCAGAGACCCAATGAAAAAATTTATCCAAAGAAGTCTATGGGTATTCATGAAGTTGACGTTTACACGGCCATTTCAGCCCAACTTACCGCACTACCTAAGCAATTAGGAGGTATGTAGGTAAATTTTGTTCAAAAACCTCAAATGACATGTGATTTTTGTGCAGGTAATCATACGAGCAATGAATGTCAAGTGGGGAACACCTTTGCTTCAGCTTCATCATCAGCAGAACAAGTCAACTACTTGGTAGGGAATCAGAGACAACAGAATAACCCTTTCTCCAACACATACACTCCCCATTGGAGAAATCATCCAAACTTGTCTTGGGGCAATCAGAATCAGTAGAATCCTCAATAGAACCAAAGAATAGTGCCAAACAATCAAGTGAGGGTGAATAATCAACCAAGGGATCAAAGATTGTCAAAATTAGAAGATATGTTCAGGAAATTCATGCAAGAGACCATAAGTTTCATGAATGAGACGAGGGCAAATTTTAGAAACCAAGGGGCATCCATTCAAAACTTAGAGGTACAAGTGGGGCAAATAGCCGAAAAGCTGAATGAGCAACCACAAGGTTCCCTACCAAGCAACACAATGACAAATCCACAAGAACAAGTAAATGAAATAACTTTACGGAGTGGAACAGTCTTGGAAGAGGTTGAACAAAAAGAGAAGGATGAGAACCCACTAAGTAAAGTGAAGGAAGAATCCGATGAAGAAATCGAGGAAGAAGTCATGGTTAAAGAGAAGCCAACGAGTCCCAAAGAAGAAGGACAAAAGAGGGAAAAGATGCCAAAGCAAAGGAAGGAAAAATTGTCATTTCCTGAGATACCATTGGAGTTGGCACATCATACTCCTCGTATGCCTTTTCCTCAGAGGCTCAGAAAGAAAAATCAGGATAAGCAGTTCACAAAATTCCTTGATGTATTTAAAAAACTGCATATTAACATTCCTTTTGCAGATGCATTGCAGCAGATGCTGAGCTATGCCAAGTTCCTCAAGGAAATTCTGGCAATAAAAGAAAGTTGGAAGAAAGGGAAATAATGATGCTTACAGAGGAGTGCAGTGCCATTTTAAAGAAGAAGCTGCCACAAAAACTCAAGGTTCCAGTGAGTTTTACTATCCCTTGTGTCATAGGAGATATTATATTTGATAAAGTTTTGTATGATCTGGGTGCAAGTATAAATCTAATGCCTTTTTCTGTTTTCAGGAAACTAGGGATTGGTGAAGTGAAGCCTACAACCATATCCTTGTAGCTTGCAGATAGATCCATCAAACATCCAAGGGGACATTATTGAAGATGTACTGGTGAAGGTGGATAAATTCATTTTTCTGGTAGACTTTTTTGTGTTGGATATGGAAGAAGATAAAGAGATTCCTCTCATCTTGGGATGACCATTTCTTGCTACCGGAAGAGCCTTAATTGATGTACAAGAGGGGAAGTTGATCATGAGGATGCAAGAGGAAGAAGTGACATTCAATGTCCTTGAGACTCTAAAAGTTCCATCGAAGCAAGATTCATGTTTCAAAATTGACTCGATGGATCAGTCAGCGATTAAAACTTCCAAGATTGATGATCCTAAATCGCCAATTAAGGGATGCATGGTCAAGTTAAGGCAATTTGAAGATGAAGATCATAAACCAAAAGTTTACACAACATACCTTGATGGGCCACAATCGAGCAAATGTCTTCACAAGGGACGAACTTCTCACTTCAAGAATGCTGCTGGAAAGTGTAAAAATCAGAAAGTTGTCAATCAGAACACTCGAACCCTAAAAGGAAAGACCAAGGGATGGAAATGGGTGGTTAAGTTCTCAACAAAGACCCAATGTGACAAGAATCATCAACAATTGAAGCCTTAGTGTAGGGAAAATGTTCGGGAAGAGATGTGTTTGGATAGTCCGGATTGACGAAGGACAAGAGAAAGTCAAGCTTCCGACTATAAACAAGCGCTTCTTGGGAGGCAACCCAAGTGTTCTCATTTTTAGTTGTTTTAAATTTTTCTTTTTTGTGTTTTATGACTTAGGAAATAGTTTAATTTCGTTTGTTTTTGGTGTTTCAGGGGAATGATCAAAATGTGGCAAAAATTGGAATTCTCCATATTTCACCGTGGCGAAGTTTATTCTTCACCGCGGTGTTATACACACTGCCCAAATTTGGACTAAATGGAATTCCAACTTTCACCGCGGTAAAGTTTATTCTTCTCCGCAGTGTTGTACTCACTGCTAAAGTTCGCCATGGTGAGAAATTTTCTTCGCTGCAGCGTTGAGTCGCACAAATGAATCAAGAACTTCGCCACGGCCTTTCTATATACACTCGCGATTACCTTTCATTTTTTGCGAAAGCTTCCAAAAACTTCCAAGAACCAAACACTTCCACCTTCAATCCAGAGTGTTCCAATGCATTTTCTTCCCACTATTCCATTCCTTAACCCTCATAACCACTAAAGCACCTCAGTTTTTTCAAAGATTTTGCAAAGTATTGAAGAAGAGTTTGGAAACCCTAGGTTTTCCAAAATTTGGGGATTTTGCGAGTTGGGCAGAAATTGGTGAAATTGGTGGTGAATTCGTCATGGTATGATAAGATTTCAAGTCCTCCAACCTTAAATTTGATCAATTGCGATTTTTAATGCTTTAAGTTTGAGACATTGATTGAAATTCTAGAGTTGTGGATTTTGATGCGAATTGTGGAGTGATTTTGATTTGGGAAGTTTTGAGTTTGATTTGTTTTGTGTTGAGGAAGTTGGGTTTTTGATATTGAAGTTGTTTGAGTGCATTTGGAAGATTTGAAGTTTTGGGGTGTAGGTGTAAGTTTCAAAACCTTAAGGTGAATTGAGGAATTGATTGTGGGTTTTGAAGTGGGCTGTAGTGTTGAATTGTCGAGTTGAATCACTAAGTTTGGGGGTAGATTTGGGTGATCACTATTGAAAATCGAAAAGCCACTCAAAACAGTTGCCAGGGGTAAAGGAAAACAAGTCAACAATAGATTTATGAATGAGAAGGCTAGGCAGCATTACGAAGGCACAATTAAAAGAAAAGACAAAGTTTTTACTGCTGAAAGAGGATTGACCACTGTCATGGCAAAAGCTTGGATAAAAGGGAGAGGTTGGGAATTCTTTCTGCGTGAACTAGAACACTTAGCCATAGAGCCAATAGTAAGAGAATTTTATGCCAACTTCCCTGAGTGTGAGCCCGGGCCTGTTTATGTGAGGGGTATGCAGGTGCAAATTAATGCGAAGATTATCAATGATTTCTACAGGATTGATCCAATTGACAGTGATAAGTATTTGGAATTCAAAAAGAAGGAGATTAACGAGGAGGAGATTCTTAAGGTCGTAGCAGAGCCAGGTACATCTTGGAAAATTTCGAAGAAGGGGAGAAGAAGCATAAAAGGAACTAATTTGATTCCTATGGCAAGATTGTGGCCATACTTTGTCTGTGCACGGATGGTCCCAGAAACGCACTATAGTACAGTGCTTTTTGAGCGAGCAATTTTACTTTATGCCATTACCACTGGCAAGAAAATGGATGTGGGGAATATAATAATGGAGAATATACGGCATGCAGCTAAACCAAGGCGAGAGAGCTTTGCCTTCCTACATGTTATCAATAAGCTTTGCACTCGAGCGGGAGTTAAGAAGGCAGACGATGAACCACTTCTTCATCTTGCCCCAACCCTCGATCAAAGCTATTGCTTCAAGCTCCTAGGGCATCCTCCCAGTGAAGGAACCAGCTCCGGTTTGAAGAGACCGAGAACCATAACAACAGCCACAACATCTAGTTCACCATCCATGACAAGGGAGCTGTTGCAACAAATTTTGGACAAGGTGAACAGGATGGAATGACATCAATATTGGATGGCAGGGCAGACCCGAATGTTGTACGAGATGTAATACAACTGCTGCACCAATCTAGGCATTAATGTTTCAACCTTCCAATGGCAAGATTGGTAAGAGGAGGAAGAAGATAATGACGTCGAAGAAGAAGAGGAAGATGACGAATGAAGCCTGAAACTCTTGTGTTTGTATTTTCTGTTTTCATTTGTTTTTGTTTTTGTTTTGTACATTGGAACTGATTTTCCTTTGTTAGATTGTTAATTGTTGTTTGAATTTTCTAGTTTAGTTTGTTAAGGGTAAGATTAGGTTGTAATTTTTTCGTATTATCCAGTGGAGATTTCTAACACAGTGGGCACCATAGATTTTCATTTGTTTTGCAAATGATGATGATGAGGAAGCCAAGGAATAGGCGCACATGATGTTGAATGAAAATTAGCCTTCACGGATTAATCAGGGAAATATCTCGTACCCCTTAGTTTTGTTTTTCTATTCCTGAGATGTGCATGATGTGACATTGGGGACAATGTCATTTTAAGTTTGGGGGTAGGAAATTTTGAAATTTTGTTTTGTGTTTAGTTTGTTTTTATGTTTTGCATTGTTGTTGCCAATGATGAATTGCATAAGTCTATGATGAGAATAGGATTGTTGAGATTTTATTTATTGAAAATGAGAAACATTGCTTCAAGTTTAGGTTGGTTGACTTGATTTAGCTTGAGGTTCGTTGAGTGGTTCAACCACCATTTTCATTCTTTCAGCATGCTTAGAATCTTTTTATGTGGTTAGGTGAAGTCTTGATAATGGTGGTGGACTCTAGAACCTAGTTGAGAAGTGCTTGAGGCAAAATTCTAGGAATAGACATTATTGAGGAAATTATTTAGGCAATTTCTCGGAACGTTTGAGCCTTTCCAGCCGGCCCATGAATGAATCTTTCCCTAGTCACCCATTTGAGCCTAATGAGATTATCATTGCCTTATTTTTCATGCAAACCAAAAATTGTCCAATCCCTATACCCTAAACACTTTATCATACCCTTTAGGAGAATTCTAGACCTAATGTATGACACAAAAGAGCTTTGAGAGGTGTGTGAATTAATGATGGACCAAAATCTTAAGTTTGGGGTTGCAAAAAGGGCAGGAAGAAGGGGCTATAGACCTGCATGATGTTATCTTTAAAAAAAATAAAAATAAAAATTAGTTCAATTCAAAATCAAAAATAAGAAATGCATAAGTTTGAGGGTTGTAAAATGGTTGACACTTTGATTGGTGGTGGAGAAAGAAAGTGGAGATTGGTGTAGCTCTTTGTGTTTGCATGAGGAAACCGAGTTCTCTTTACTTTGTTTATCCTATCTTTTTCCTTGGAGCCCACTACCCAAGCCGTTACAAGCTTGCAAAGACCTTTTCATCCTTAGTGATGTCCAGTCCACATTAGTGGAGAGTAGTTCGATACTTAGGCTTATGAAGTCTACCACCATTTGATAAACTTTACATTCCTGCATAAAATAATCTGGGAAGTCGGAAGGTGGACTGAAGTGGGGATTACCTACTTAGGGGACCGATAGAGAAAGATAGTCAATCAATTTATAACTTCTTGGAGTGTTAAGCATTTTCTTGTAATAATATTTCAACAATTTTTTAGACTTGCATTTGCAATCAATTCTAGGCATTTCTTTGTGTTTGATTTTGATTCTAAATTTTCCTTTATTATTTTCAATTTGCTGTCTTTATCTATTTGTTAGTTGTTCTTCTTTAGTCAAATTTCGTGCCTGATGCTCAAGGATGAGCATCCCTTAAGTTTAGGGGTATTTGATAATCATAGGATTATACTAGTTTATCTATGCTTTTTGGCTGGATTTTGGATACTTCTTCTTTCGTTTGTGCCTAAATTGCAACTTAATTTTATATATTTTATGTTCCAGGCCGAAACATGCAGTTAGAGCAAATACTGAGCGGAATTGAGTTTCTAGACCCATAAGCAAGTGACTCGTAGGATTCGGGGAAGTTCTGATGCGGATTCAAAGCATTATGAAGCTTGTTCCTATTAGAGATCACTAAAGATTGAAGATTTAAGCAAGGAAGCAAGCGGAGGGCATTTTCATAATTTTAGAATAATTCAGAAAACTTCACCACGGCGAAGTTCTTTCTTCATCGCGGTGAGAAACTCTTGGATCAGATTGTGGAATTAATTCCAAGCGAAGTCTGGGAAATTCAATTATTAAAACTGTGCATTTTACTTGTATTAGAGGAGTCTTAGGGTTTTAGGGTCGACTATTAAAGAGGAACTTAGTTATTTTTGTGAGGGGTTCAACACTATTTTGGGAGAAAATGGAGAGAAACTTAAGATTGGAAGCCTTTGGGTTCATCAAATAGGAAAGATTTACTCTCTTTTTGTTACTCCATCATGTTGAACTTTGTGTTTACATTTTTTATTTTGATTTGTTTTAATTTTAGTATGAACTGACTCACTTTTGGGTTAGGTTTTTGATGTAATTGGGATTTTAATGTTTAATCAATAGATTGATGTTGCTTTTACATTCTATTGCATGGATTGTGTAATTACTCT